AGGGGGCCGGGCTTCTGAGGCAGGCTGGGACAAGAAGGGTTATCCTGCTTGGAAAAAGGGACTTCTGTGGACGATGGAAGTATTCTGGGGTGCTCCGTGGAAGATGAGCGCCAAGGAGCACGTGTCCGGCCCCCTTCAGCTCCACTTCCTTCTGCAGGTGTGCCCCAGAGAGCCTGCGCCACGGAGCCTTCTCGTCTGCCTCAGACATGTGGATGTTTGGGGTGACGCTGTGGGAGATGTTCTCCGGGGGCGAGGAACCCTGGGCTGGGGTCCCACCGTACCTCATCCTGCAGCGGCTGGAGGACAGAGCCCGGCTGCCTAGGCCTCCCCTCTGCTCCAGGACCCTCTACTCCCTCGCCTTGCGCTGCTGGGCCCCCCACCCTGCTGACCGGCCTAGCTTTACCCACCTGGAAGAACTGCTGCAAGAGGTGGGGACCCCCTCCCTCACCAGATACACAGTCTCTCTTCCCTCCATTCGCCCTTCCAGAGTGCCATGCAAAGACTGACGTATCCAGATGCCCGTGCTGGGCCCTGGGACTCAGCTCTGAGCAAAACAGATGCAGTCCCTACCTGCAGGGAGCTCAGAATTCTGGGGAGGCAGCTTGAGACTATACAGATGGAGGCTGAAAGGCTGGGGTCTGTGTCTGGGCCAGAAAAGGGTCATAGAGGAGACAGCAGTCAGTTGCAGTGGGTGTTGACAGGCAGAGAAAGAGAAACGTTCCGCATGAGAGGGGGAAATAGAAGTAATGAGGCCACAGAGTGAGCAGGAGCTGTGTCATGGAGGGCTTTGCAAGGTGTGTTAAGCTAACGTGTAGAGCAATTGACCTGTCTGGGACGCTGCACTGTCTGCTCTACATGGGCGCTATGCAGATTCACTCATTTAGTTCCGTCAACCACTGGATGAGGTTATTACTACTGAGACAGAGTCTCACTTTGTCACCCTAGCTGAAGTGCAGTTGTGGGATCTCAGCTCACTGCCACCTCCCCCTCCTGGGTTCAAGCGATTTTCCTGCTTCAGCCTCCTGAGTAGCTGGGACTACAGGCACCCGCCACCACACCCAGCTAATTTTTGTATTTTTAGTAGAGATGGGGTTTCACCATGTTAGCCAGGCTGGTCTCGAACTCCTGACCTCAAATGATCCACCCACCCCAGCCTCCCAAAGTGTTGGGATTACAGGCGTGAGCCACTGTGCCCGGCCTGGATGAGGTAATTATTATCTCCATGTTACTGATGGGCAGTTGAGGCACTGAGTGTTTAAGTGACTTGTCTAAAGTCACACAATACATGGAGGAGTTGGGATTTGAGCCTGTCGATTTGACTTCAGAGCCTTTCCCTAAGTTGCTACACTCTACTGCTAAAGTTTAGTCTTTACTCTGAAGGCATTTGGGAGCCATGGAAGCCTACTGAACAGGGCAGTGACAAGCCGCTCTGCGGATTACAACACTCTGGGTGGTGCAGGAATGGATTAGAGGCCTGATGATGAGGATGGGAGACCAGGTAGGCAACAGTGGCTGTGAAGCAGAGAAAGATGAGGAGGTCTGGATGAGGGTAGAGGCAGTGGGGCTGCAGAGGAGTGGAAATTTCCCAGAGGGTCTTGGGGGGAATCTGACGGGCCTGGATGTGGAGTGAAAGCAGAGTAGGGGGTGATGCTCCTATCAGTGCCCCTAGGTAGAGCCAGGGCCCTCCTCTCTTGCTCCCTGAGCCCTAACCTGTTTGTCATGGGATACAGGTCTGCCTCCCTCACTGAATTACAACTGGGGGACAGGGAGATTCCCACCCTGGGCCTAGAACAGGCGACATACAGAGCGGGGCTCCTTTATTCCTGCTCCCATGATTACCTTTCTGACTCAGGCCACAAGCCCAGCCACCCTTTCCTCTTGTCTCCACAGGCCTGGCCTTCAGAAGGATGCTGTGTGAGGGATGTCACAGAGCCAGGCGCCCTGAGGATGGAGCCTGGTGACCCCATCACAGTCATCGAGGGCAGGTGACAGCCCCATGCCTCCCAAGCATCCCCAGGAGGATACCCTCCCAACCTTCCTGATTCCCGATCCCATCTCTGCTTTTCTCCAGCTCCTTGAACCCTGATCTTCTGTCTCTTCTCCTCTCCCCACTGGGCCCTGAATGCTCCAGCATGGCCCTGGCCTCCCTGCTGGCCCATACAGCCCTATCGCATTAGGGAAAAGGCTTCCCTTCCTCCAGGCAGACACAGCTCCAAGGCACATAGCCTAGTGAGCTGAATGTGGGCCAGGGCCCAGCCCTAACTCCTGCCCCTGTTTCCACCCTATTTACCAGCTCCTCTTTCCACAGCCCTGACTCCACAATCTGGAAGGGCCAGAATGGTCGTACCTTCAAAGTGGGCAGCTTCCCAGCCTCCGCAGTGACTCTGGCAGATTCAGGGGGCTTGCCAGCCACCCGTCCAGTCCACAGAGGCACCCCTGCCCGGGGAGATCAACACCCAGGAAGCATAGATGGGTAAGGACCTGAAAGGGTGGGGGACAGGGGTGGGCTAGGAGAACTGACAAAGTCTAGGGACTTCTCTGGAAGGGAAGCTTGGGGACAGGACCAGAGTGAAGCTGCAGTCTCCTCCCTGGGCCCTGAGTCTCCTGGGTTCCCCCGTGAGTTTTTTTGGTGGGTAGAAGGGATATTGATCTGTGGGATGGGGAGGGTTGGTGTGGAGGAAGAACTGGATCTCTCTCCGACAGAGACAGAAAGAAGGCAAATCTTTGGGATGTGCCTCCAGCACGGGGCCAGAGAAGAAATGTGCCCCTTGAGAGGATGAAAGGTGGGTGTGGTGGGACTCTGGGGTCTCTAAGGAGATCAAACCAGCCCTTCAAATTCTGACCCCCTGCCCTGAATCCGTGCCTTTGCATCTATTATTTCCTTCCTCTGAATTCTGTCTGCTGGCATCCTAGGTGGACTGAAATCTTCAAAGATAGGAAGCCCTCTTGCTTTTCCTACTGAAGAACACCTCCACACTCTGGGCCCTCCGCCTAGGCCTTGGTGTCCATTTGCACCTCTGTCCTATTGTCCTACCTGCCACATGAACCACCCAAGGACAGGGCTGGCTAGCTCATCTGCAAATGCTTGCGAAACCATCCAGCCCAGCATAGATGAAGACAGAGAGTGGGCAGGGCGCGGCAGCTCATGCCTGTAATCCCAGCACTTTGGGAGGCCAAGGTGGGCAGATGGCTTGAGTCCAGGAGTTTGAGATTAGCCTGGGCAACATGGCGAAACCCTGTCTCTACAAAAATACAAAAATTAGCCAGGTGTGGTGGCAGGCACCTGTGGACCCAGCTACTCAGGAGGCTGAGGTGGGAGGATCACTTGAGCCCGGGAGGCGGAGGCTGCCGCAAGCCGAGATCAAGTTGTTTCTTTCTCAACTGTGCAGGCATTTCCAGGAGTCTGGAGTCAGTTCTGTCCCTGGGTCCTCGCCCCACAGGGGGTGGTTCAAGCCCCCCTGAAATTCGACAAGCCAGAGCTGTACGCCAGGGACCCCCAGGCCTGCCTCCACGCCCACCTTTATCCTCCAGCTCTCCTCAGCCCAGCCAGCCCCCTAGGGAGCGGCTTCCCTGGCCCAAAAGAAAACCCCCACACAATCACCCCATGGGAGCGCCTGGAGCTAGCAAAGCCACTGTCCTCTCTGGAGGCCTCTTGCCTGATCCTGAGTTGCAGAGGAAGATTATGGAGGTGAGGTCTCACTGAAATGGCCTGGTGTCCAGAAGGGGCTACAGGCAGGGGCAGGGGCCTGAGTGAGGCTTTGTCTGTCCCAGGTGGAACTGAGTGTGCATGGAGTCACCCACCAGGAGTGCCAGGCAGCACTGGGAGCCACCAGGGGAGATGTGGTTTCAGCCATCCAGAACCTCAAGGTAAAGCCAGCCCTGGCCAGGCATGGTGGCTCATGCTTGTTATCCCAGCACTTTGGGAGGCCTAGGCAGGCGGATCACCTGAGTCAGGATTTCAAGATGAGCCTGGCCAGTATGGGTGAAACCCTGTCTCTACTGAAAATATAAAAAATTAGCTGGTTGCCTGTAATGCCAGCTACTCAGGAGGCTGAGGCAGGAGGGTTGCTTGAACCTGGGAGGTGGAGGTTGCAGTGAGTCCAGATCGCACCATTGCACCCCACCCTGGCAGACAAGACTGAAACTGAGTCTTAAGAAAAAAGCCAGCCCCTTCTCTCGGGGTCCCTTCTCTCCTGCCCCTGCCACCTGGCAGTCAGCTGCAGCCCACCCTCCTGCTTCCACAGGTAGACCAGCTCTTCCACTTGAGTAGCCGGTCCAGGGCTGACTGCCGGCGCATCCTAGAGCATTACCAGTGGGACCTCTCAGCTGCCAGTCGCTACGTCCTGGCCAGGCCCTGAGCTCGCTTCTGTGGGCATGGACACCAGCATGAAAAGCCTAGGCCCCGGAGGGCCTGGCCACGTGGGACCAAGCAGAACCAGAAAAAGGTCCTGACGGGGGTAGACTTTCCACCTGGGGAGGTCCCACCTGCTATAGGCACGTGGGGGAGGAGCCCAGGGTTGGGCACTGGGAAATGTCTCCTCCCTCCCATGCTCCTTGGCCTCTGAAGGCTGAAGCTCCTTTGGCTGGGCCAAGAAGGATCTAGCCTGCCCACTACATTCTCAAACAAGAGGACAACTTGGAGGAAAAAACTGCTATACATTGTATTCAGAGGAAGCTTCTACTCGCTAGAGAGGATGATCAAGGGGCCACACTGGACCATGCGAACAGCCATCCTGAACTGCCGTCAGCTACTGCACTAGACTGCGGGGCAGCCATCTTGGATGATGGAAGCCGCCATATTGACTTGGGGTATGAGGCCCAAACTCTCTTCGTTTGGTCCAGGGCCATGGTGGGTGATGACAACTGCTCTTTGCGTTCAAGGACATTTGATGCTGGTACTATGGATCATGAGACAGACCAGCCCCTGCCCCAGCCCTCACATTCCCCTTTGTTTTTCCTGGCACCAACTCCTTCTGCCCTCCCCTATTACATACATCTTCCAATGTCCAAAAAGTTACAAAGTTTATATGAATGTAACATATAAAGATGCAGCCTTTTTCTTAGGGCAAGGGAAGGAAAGGCGGTTAAATAAGGCACAGGAAACGCAGCAAGCACCAGCTGAGGGCAGGGCCCTAGTGGGTGAGGAAGTTGGCACTGGGGTCCCCTGCAGCTACTGTTGGGGAGGTGGAGACCCCATTGAGTGCCAAGGTCTGAGGCTGAACTAATTGGCTGAGCAGATGCAGGGGTGGGGGTGGCTATATCCACCGTCTTTGGTGCAGCTTGCCCTTCCCCACCCCAGCCCTCTTATAAAACCCCAGAGTCCTGGGTTCCAGAGGCCTCCTTTGGAGCAGAGGCCCTGAAAGGGGGTGGGAGGAAGTACGTAGGGAAAGTTTGACAGCTGTTATGCCTGTGTGCTGAGGGACTGCTGGGACAGTGGTAGAAGGTAGCAGGAGAAGGGCTGCCCCTCCTTGGGGACCACAGGGGCAGGAGGCCAGGGAGTAGGGTAGGGATGGGGGCCACCTTCTGTCCCCTGCAGTGTACATGGAGGAAAGGGGCTGCCCAGAGGAGGGCCAGGGCAGGCGACCATCTGGAGTTCTGGCTGAGGCGATGGTCTCCTCACACCATGGTGGCCTCTAACTGGTGACGGCAGAGGGCCCAGCGCCTCCTCGCTTCTCGAAGAACATGTAGTCCTAAGAGGAAGCCACTGTCAACAGGCGATCCAGCAGGGCCAGCCCAGCTCGGCTGTGATGGGCCAGCTCTGGAACCTCGAACCCCCTCCAACATCTATCCCTGACCTTCCCCTAGCAAGAGGCCAGGAAATGCATAAAGCTTCAAGTGACAGCAAAGGACAGGCAGGAGGCGGGGGCAGGGGCAGCCAACTCACAATGAGGAATGTGGCTCCCAGCAGCACAGCCTTCACCCTCACATCCAAGTCCAGTGGGAACTGTAGGCCAAAGTCATCTGCATCCGTGAGGGCTTCTCGGACCAGGCCCCCCCACTGCTTGCTGATGCGGCCCACACTGCGGGATTCATCCCGTGTCTTCACCTGTCAGCGGGGAGGGAGGAATAAGCCAACTGAGGAGTAGGCAGCCAGTCTCACCTGCCTCCGGTCTCACTCCCACAGTCGCATGAATGAATTTGCAGGCTCTACACTCAGTGAATCTTCCCTTCTAGAGGTCACCCAGTGATCGCTTTCCCAACTGGTTCCCGTCACCAAGTATGACAGCTGGGGAAACTGAGGCACTCTAGATTACGCTGTAAGTCTCTAACCAAAATCAGGATTCAGACTCAGATCTGCTGCTATCCAAAGGTGATGCATGACCTAACTGAGTATCAGCGGTGGGAGAAATGGAAGCATGATCTCATCCAACCCCATGAGGGTGTAGCTGTTTGCTAACTGCTTTGGTTCCCAATGCCCCTGCCACCCACAATTGGCACAGTCTGTGTCCTGCACAAAGTACCCTGGCCAAAAGGGCAAGGAAAGCTACCTGAATCCTGGCTGTACTTCACCAGCCAAGAAGGCTCCTAGAAGGCTGTGTCTATCCCAAAGAGTGCCTTCTCTCTAATCTGTAAAGTAGGGGAGGGCCTTGTCCAGCACTGCATGAGAGCCTCATCTAGGGGGATACATGCCTCTCTACTGTGGGGAGGGGCAGCAGTCAGTAGCCTTTGAGGACCACAATTTCCACTGGCTTCTCTGAGCCACACAGCAACAGGCCCTGCCGATGTGGGTAGTTACTGCCCTTGACTTCTTGGTCCTTTTCCGGTGCTCATTCTCCAGTGATTACAACTGGAGTTATTTCCTTTTGTGTCATTGCCATCCCCTTCCCGCACTGTCCTATAGCTCTGGGGCATTTCCTGCCATGGTCCTAAGGGTACAGCCGCAAGTATGGACCGTTTATAATTATGTGAAAGGGACACTGGCCCTATGAGAACCCTACAGCCTATAAATTCCCACCCAGAGATCACGCAGTTATTAGTTCTTATTCCCAACTGGTTCCCATCACAGAATCTCCCTTTGGCTACCAAGGTGACTCATTTTTTCAAAGTAGCCTTAGACAGGTACCTCATTAGAAGCGTTGGAAAGTCTACAAGATTATACCTGTTGTTTCTCCCTTACCTGCACAAGGAAGTATCCTTTAAAGAAATCAAGGGTCAGGTCAGGCACAGTGGCTCATGCCTGTAATTCCAGCACTTTGAGAGGCAGAGACGGGCAGATCACGAGGTCAGGAGTTCGAGACCAGCCTGGCCAGCATGGTGAAGCCCTGTCTCTACTAAAAAAAAAAAAAAAAAAAAAAAAAAAAATTAGCCAGGCATGGTGGTGCACACCTATAATCCCAGCTACTTGGGAGGTTGAGGCAGGAGAATTGCTTCAACCTGGGAGCCGGAGATTGCAGTGAGCCGAGATTGTGCCACTGCACTCTAGCCTGGGTGACAGAGCAAGACTCCATCTCAAAAAAAAAAAAAGAACTCAAGGGTCTGTGGAGTGCCTCTGTCTTCTAGAATCCAAGGTGCTTCCCAAGGCCTCAGTCTAAAATTCTCACCACTTGGGATCTCCAGTTCCAGATTGGTGACAGGGATGCATAATGAGAAGGACAGACCTGGATTTCAGAATGGAAGGGCCAGCCACAGGATGTTAACATGTTAAAATTGTGCTTGTGGCTGGGCGTCGTGGCTCATGCCTGTAATCCTAGCACTTTGGGAGGCCGAGGTGGGTGGGTCACCTGAGGTCAGGAGTTTGACACCAGCCTGGCCAACATGGTGAAAACCCCGTCTCTACTAAAAATACAAAAATTAGTTGGGCATGGTAGCAGGTGCCTGTAATTCCAGCTACTTAGGAGGCTGAGGCAGGAGAATCACTTGAACCCAGGAAACGGAGGTTGCAGTGAGCCAATATTGCCCCATTGTACTCCAGCCTGGGCAACAAGAATGAAACTCTGTCTAAAAAAAAAAAAAAAAAAAAAAATCGTGCTTGCTCCAGGGCCTGGGCTCACGAACTCATACACAGCAGCCACATGGGCCCAGCCCACGCAGACTTAATCATCCTTCACCCTAAATTCAGGCTGGCGATAGATTTTTTTTCCACCCATCTCAGGGCCATGTGTAATAATCAGCATTGCTCCTTAAGATGAAATCCTCCCTGTTATGCTTATAAAAGGGGGATTTTTTTTTTTTTTTTTTTTTGAGACGGAGTTTTGCTCTTGTTACCCAGGCTGGAGTGCAATGGCACGATCTTGGCTCACCGCAACCTCCGCCTCCTGGGTTCAGGCAATTCTCCTGCCTCAGCCTCCTGAGTAGCTGGGATTACAGGCACATGCCACCATGCCCAGCTAATGTTTTGTATTTTTAGTAGAGACGGGGTTTCACCATGTTGACCAGGATGGTCTCGATCTCTTGACCTCGTGATCCACCCGCCTCAGCCTCCCAAAGTGCTGGGATTATAGGCGTGAGCCACCGCGCCCGGCTAAAAGGGGGATTTTTATAGCACAGGGCCATCCTATTTCCAAATGGAGGAATGCTGGAAATGTGGTAGGAGTCACAGTGGATTTGGATTGATGAGCTCAGGGTCTTGACCTTAGTGTTAACCATCCTGCCTCATGGAGGTGTCATCTTGGTTTATGAAGGTCCCAAGAATGTCTAGGTATCCCTGATACCTCAAAGTTGGTGTCTGTGCCACAGCCACAGGTCCAGCAGGGCCCCACCACTCGCAAGACTGTCTGGCGATCCGCATCCTGGATGGAGAACTTGGGGAGGAAGGGATGCCAGGTCTGTACCACGTGGCCGATAGTGGTGCCTGGTGGAGCCTGGACTTCCATCTGGAGTGGGAAGCAGACAGGATCACTGCTGAGGCAGGGTCTCTATCATCCAGCTCTATCATCTGTCTACTTGGCCCTCTCACTCAACCTCCCATCCCCTCCTGCCCACTCCCACCTGAGCCAGGTCTTATCTTAGGCGGATCTCATCACTGGCCCGCCCCACCAAGGCCCGCCCTCCGGGCCCCATCCCTCCCGCCCACCTCCTGGAGGCCACAGGGGCAGCAGCTGCAGCCACAGTGCAGCGGGCGGAGCAAACGCAGCACCTCGCGGTCCCCGGAGTCCGCCAGGCGAACACGCAGCGGCCGGCGGGCGCCACAGCACAGACGGGCGCAGCAGTTGCTCTCCTCGGCCGCCTGACCCAGGGGCTGCCCGGCTCCAGAGCTCAGTTCATACCGGTTACAGGTCTCCCAGCCTAGGAACGCTGCCAGGGGTGACACGGGGAGACTTACAGAGCCTCGCGCGCCCAGGAGCCCACCATCCCGGCCACCATCACGAGGTCCAACCTCCTACTCCTTCCACTTACTTTCCACTCGCTCAGCCTTCTGATGAATCAAAATCTGATCAATCTGGGAGAGAAGGGCGATGCGCACATCAGCCGGCCCATCTGGACGCCCAGGTCCCCTCCCAGTCATCCTCCTTCCCTCCCTCGCTCCCTCCCACTCACCTGCACCAGGAATTCGAGGCCAGAAGGCACCCCTGGCACTGGCAAGAAGGGGGCAGCAGATCCCGAGGCCACGGGGCCGGGCGAGGGGAAGAGGGCGAAGCCGGGAGCTGGGGCAGGTACCTGGGCGGGCACTGGCGCCTGCCCGGGCCCAGGATGTAGTGCCGGCTCTGGGTACCCAGTGGTCACAGGGTAGGGAGGTGGGGGCGAAGGGGCGTAGCCTTTGGGGGGCAAGTAGCCTGTAAAGTGGTGAGGGCAGGATAGATTAGAAAGGGCTCCGAGGCCTCATCGCCTTATTCCACAGCCCATGGGCCCCGAGGCTCGGGGGAAATGTGGTGGGAAGAGGCAGAGAAAGATGGGGCAGGGGAGCATGGTGGAGGTTCCCCGGAAGGAAGGGAGGGGCCCCACCCAGCCAGTCCGAGCACATTCCGGGAGGATGTGTTCGCACCCGGCTCCCAAGTCCGTGGGGGGATAACGGAGACCCCTGGCCTTGCGCGCACTTACCTGCCATGGGAGGAGGTTGGGGTTTTCGGGATGTGGGTGTCTGGGTGGCTTAGTTCTGGAAGCGAAGGCAAACCCTGAGACAGCCAGACAGACACAGAAACAGACACAAAGACGGACAGGCAAATGTGGAGAGGCAGCTGCGCCCGGCACCGGCCCAGGATCTCTAGGGCGGCGCCTCTGACTCGGGGAGAAACCCAAAGTGTCAGTGGCCGGGGCTGGGTACCTGGGACCCTGGATTCCCTAGGGGGCCCCAGAACCGCCCCCTCCCTTTGTTCTCCCATTCTGCGGAGGTGGATGTGGGCGGACGGCAGGACAGATGGACCCGCGATCAGGCCGACGGCCCCACCTCGAGGACGGTCTCCCTGATCCCTCTGTGCCCACGCTCACCTGGAGCCCCCAAAACAGCCCGGTGCCTAGCACTCGGCGGCTCACCAGCGCTGGCGGAGGCGGAGGCGGGCCCGAGTTTGGACCCCGGCCCCGCCCCGCGACCCGCCGGGCCCGCCCTCTCCTGGGCAGCGCGTCTGCGTCGAGAGGAAGGAGGCCGCCAGCTGCCCAGGGAAGCCGAGCTTGTGCTTCGTTCCTCGGCAGTCGCCGGCGTTCCCGCCCCTTCCGCTCGGACTGCAGAAGCCGGGAGAGTAGGAGCGCCTGCGGAGGGCGGCGGCCGGGCCGGGGCCCGGCTAACCCCGCTGGGTCGGCGGGCTTGCGTGCTCAGCGCCTTTGGTGGGAGGCGAGGGTGGCCCGCGCCGCCCTGGGCCCTGGGCTCCTCCTCCCAAGGGCAGTCGGGCCACGCTGACGCAGCGAAACACCATTCACTCTCACTCCTTGGCTTCCAGGACTGGCTCCTGGCTCCCCTTCTGCCTCCCAGGGGCGACCTCGTCCTCTTCCCTCCCTGGCGCAGCGGTGACCCACACGGGCACCTCTCAGCGACAGCACTTTCTGCAGGTGCCCCAGCCACGCGGGTGACAGGCCGCCAAATGATGTCAGTGAGCGTGCTCAGGGCGCCCAGAGGGGCCAGAGAAGGAAACGCGGTCAGAAAAGAACCCCGAGACAAGTCTCTTCGACTGGATCTGAGCCAGGGCCAGTCCTGGCCTTGGGCAAGAGATGGGTTTAGAGAGGGAGTGCAGTCCACGGACACGGGGGGCCACGTGGAAGCTGGGATTTGGCCCCACGGGCAGCAAGAAGCCCACCGAGACATTTTTGGGACAGAGAAAGTCATGTGTGTTTTAGAAAGATGGTGACAGAATGCAGTGGCTCACGCCTGTAATCCCAGCACTTTGGGAGGCCCAGGCAGGCAGATCACCTGAGGTCTGGAGTTTGAGACCAGTCTG